TAATAATTATTTCGATGTAAATTTAATGGAATACATTACATTTCGATGATCGAATCGATGTATGATATTTATTGTTTTAACATGCTTTCTTATTAAAGAAACATGATTTACGAAATAATACAGTCAGATTTGATGCTATATAATTGTATTTTGTTGAGTTTGAATTTTACAGTTGAATGTACGTTGAAGAATTCCTAAAATATTATAATATATTGCTTATATTAACGCCTTAAGAGGTTAGTTTGAACTGCTTAAAATACAATGTAACTATACACTGATGTATGGTAGAACGACTCTTTAAAAGCTTTTTAGCCAAAATGGTATCTGAAATTTGCATAACTCTTCACTTTGGTCATTGAGATTTGAAATAAATAGAAATGTTCATGAGTTTGTCCATTATCAATCATTTTGGTATTTCCTTGAAAAATCTCAATTAAATAAAGATCAAATGCCAAAAACATCGTCATTTTTTGTCAAATCATTTTGGTTTATTGTTTATTAAATTGAGAGTATTTTTATCATTTAGTCCTTAATTTTTCAAGGAATAACCAAAATAATTGATAATAGACAAACTTAGGGACCACTTTTATTGATTTCAAATCTCAAGGACTAAAGTGATGATTTATGCAAATCTCAATGACTATTTTGGCTAAAAAAAACCCTCTTTAAATTTATTATGAGATCCTACGATCAAATATTTTAGTTCTTCGATCCAATTATGAATTACTTCGTCCATTCAAGTGGGGAAATTAACATGAAAAGTGATAAATTTAAGCATATGAGGAAATTGACACGTTTTAAAAGATTGTAAAAATTTGCATATGACATTTTATCGTCGTGAGCAAAAAATCATGCAAATGCACTCTGGTATGGATTCGATCCTCCACTGTTTTCCCTCCTTCTAATAACTAATTATTTAATTAGTAACGTTATCGTTTGTGAAAAAAGAAAAAAATTATCATATTATCAATGCTTAATTGTGATGTAATTGAATGATGTTAACCATTGACTTGAATGAATTCATAGTCAAGATTTGTGTCGCCAAAAAATACCGAAAGCCAAAGTGGTACAGTGGCACATTTGTTATTACTATAAACTAGGAGGTCAAAGTCACCAAACGCTGGAGATAAAGTGAAATTTCAAACGAGTGGCCGTTTGAACTTCGAAAATAAGTTGGAACTTCAAAAACCCTCGCACCATCTCTTCAATGCGATTCAAAGCAACCCTCAGATTCTCACACTGCGACTGAGATTTGTACTCTCTCTCTCTCTCTCTCTCTACCCCAACAGCAAAAGTCTCAGCATTTCGGAGACACCCAAAAGATTTTACAGTGCAGAGAGAAACACAGAGAAGGGGAGATGACAGGGCTTGTGATGCTGACGAGGGGCGGCGGCTGCGGAGGCGGAGGTGGCGGAAATGGGAAAGGAGCAAAAGGAGCTAACAAGAGCTCAGAAGAAGAGCAGAACCAGATCTCTCTGGCTGCTCTTCTGTTAGCTGCTGTGAGGAAATCCATGGTAGCCTGCCGTGTCGAAAGAGGCGAAGAAGTCATCTCCGCCGTCCACAACATGGAGATCGGATGGCCCACGAACGTCCAGCACGTTACCCATGTCACATTCGATCGGTTCAATGGGTTTCTGGGCCTTCCGGTGGAGTTCGAGGTTGAGGTTCCAGGCAGAGTTCCCAGTGCTAGGTAAGTAAAGTTCTTGTTTTTGGTTTTTGGGTAGTCCGAGGTTTACGAAATTCGACATGGGTTTCTCTTAGGATGTTCAAATTATTGTTCTTTATGATGTTTTTATAAATCTTGGAGAATTAAAGTAAGTGGCTTGATGAACGTGTATTTGAGTTTTGAGCTCTTTTAGCTCTCGACTTTCGACAAGGCGACATTCTAAACTACTCTAATCTAACTCGAAGAAAGTAGCGAGCGCATTTCCTTAGCCAATTGGCGTAACTCACATAGTCAGCTCAATTAACTCTTTATGCTTCTTATGTGGGGTTTTGAGGTCGAGGAAGATGCTTGGTTTCGAAGAAATTGTAGTGCCAGGCAAGGGTTTAAACTTGACCAAACTGTTTTATTACATCGAGTGTGTCCTACTGTAGTAGTTATCTTCAGTAGCCATTCAATGAAAATTGTTCAAAAATGTGCAATTTTTGTTTCAGTAGTTTCCCAACCCGCGATTACCCCAAGGACTAGATGGGATTATAATCGTGTTCCGGTATCCTATTTTTCAAAGCGTCTAAAAGTTCTAATGTTAGGCTATACGGGAGTTAGATGTTCCGATTGAGGTAACAAGGGGAAGTAGAAGTTCATTGTGATTTATTTCTGTGTGTTTAATGCGTTGTCTAACTTGTAAATTGTCTAATTTTACAGTGCAAGCGTGTTCGGGGTCTCAGCGGAGTCAATGCAGTTGTCTTTTGATTCAAAAGGGAATAGTGTCCCTACTATTCTCTTGCTGATGCAGGAGAGATTATACTCACAAGAAGGATTGAAGGTAAGAAATTTTTTGTGCATTTGTGAATTTCGTATTTCGGTTCTTTTATCCTTATCAGTCTTCTTACTGGTCCTTTTGGAAGTTTCAGGCAGAAGGAATATTTCGTATAAACCCCGAGAACAGCCATGAAGAGCTTGTGAGAAGCCAATTGAACAGGGGAATTGTGCCTGATGACATTGATGTCCATTGTTTGGCAGGCCTAATCAAAGCCTGGTTTCGAGAACTTCCTTCGGGAATACTAGATGGACTGTCTCCTGAAGAAGTTCTTCAATGCAACACGGAAGAGGAATCCGTTGAGCTTGTGAAGCAATTAAAGCCAACCGAGACCGCATTGCTCAACTGGGCAGTCAATCTGATGGCTGATGTTGTTGAGGAAGAAGAACTCAACAAAATGAATGCGCGAAACATCGCTATGGTTTTCGCTCCAAACATGACTCAGGTAATTTAAAACAGCAGAAAATATGTTTTTTTTGCCTAGTATTGCTCAATGATTAAGGTTGATCAATTAACCCCTTTTTGCAAATTCTTTCCCCACCAGATGTCTGATCCTCTGACGGCTTTAATGCACGCTGTTCAAGTAATGAATTTGCTAAAGACACTGATTATGAAGACGCTAAGAGAGCGTGAAGAAAACGATGAAACTGGAGGATATTCACCAATGTCATCTTGTTCATCTGATCATCAAACCGACGAAGACTCTGATGATAGTCAGCAGGAAATGGATACTAGATCTGAATTGGAGGGTCCAACATCAGACTATGATGAAAACGCGCACTCCATCCACAGCAGCGAATGAAGATGAAGTCCGATCAGTAAGTGAGATAGAAGAGCGTTTTTTAAGGCACTTAGGGGAGAACAAAACTGCCGGAAACAGCTTGGTGGTGGCAGATCAACCAACAGGCGAGTTGTGCGGGGAATATCTGAGCCCTCAAAGTTGCTTGAGCTTCAACATGGACTCTGGCACATCGTTTTGTGACAGCAAAAATGGGAACTCCGCCCTCAGTACTACGAGTGATGGGGAAGCCTCATCAGGGAAATGTATGGCAGCTGAGGAAACTAATGTTCAAATGGAGAGCCCTTCGTCAGCTTCGAGTTCAAACAGGATTAAAATAGAGACAGTGGACAGATGAGCGGAGTCTAATTCACCAGCGCTTCATTTTCGCATACTTTCTCTAGAGATTTAGTTTGCTTTCCACAGTCAAGTTTCTTCTGTATATTATATAATGGTTTGTGAGATGATTTAGTTGAACCAAGCTTGGGAAAGCTTGCTTGTCGTTTGAATTGTGACTTGTTTAGCAAGTTAGGGTACAGCTTTGGGCTGAACTTATGCTGGATTTGCAGTAGAATTAGGACCGTTACGGTTAGGAACTCTAACCTCTCTCTTTCATGTTCTGGATAGTTTGTGTGGAAGTCTGTTGTTGAAATCATGGGGAGATTGAATCATAATTTCTGAAATTCTGCTTGTTATGTGTTTTTGTAGTATCCTGATGTTCCTGTAGTTCATAATATGCATAATGAAACCTTTTCGTGCATTCGAAATTTTATAGATTCCCGGAAAATTTTATCATACAACGTATAGCATACATCAGTGTTTGTATCCCATTATATGCATAATGAAACCTTTTCGTGCATTCAAAATTTTATATATTCCCATAAAATTTTATCATACAACAATGTATAACATACATCAGTGTTTGTATCCCATTATATTGGACACGTCCACATTTTCCTCTTAAAAATAGAATAATAATTACTGTTAGATCTGTAATGTACATTAGACATTGTTGTATGTCGTACGTATATTATCCGTAGATATTTGGAAAGAAAATTAAACAAATATATGGAATTAGCCTTTTCTTTTGAACATGTAATTTGTTGAACAACTGCTGTATCTACCACTAGACCTTAAAATATATATTTTACTTTGAAGAAAGTGGAAAGCAATCTCATCAGAAAACCACTGCTTTTTGAGCTACATATATCCATCCGAATCCAGTTCGCATTTTCAACAGTGTGTCAACTTCTTTTTTGTAAAACATAAACTTCATTGGTAGAAGAAAATGTTACAAGAAATAAACATAAAGATAAATTGCAATTAGGTCAAATAAGCAAAAAAGTCCAAGCAAATCACATGATGATCCAATTAGACTCAATCCGTTGACACAAGTCATCACCACCACAGCCACCATGCATTTCGCAATTTCATCATTCGAGTAAGTGGATTCACCGTCAGCACCCACAAAAACCAAACGTACAAATATAATGCCAATCTAATAGAACTGGAGAGAGAGATGATGAGAACAATTATGTCTTCATATATCTGAATCTGTTATGTACAATTGCAATATCATTTAAAATACAGGAATTATTTTTTTTAAACACAAATCCTTCCGTAATTTGCGAAACCTGCTTTTTATATCCAAGCTTAATTTTCCCCTTCCACTCCACTTTTTGAAGAAAAAAGAGAAAACAAAGTTGAAAAAATTGATGACTCAGAAATTAAGCAAAGTCTCATGAGGCCAAGCAAGTTTCCCAAAATAGCCTGCTCTTCTCCACCTCATTCAACAACTCAAACTCTTTGGTTGAATCAACGGACACAGTTGATTTCAGCTGGTGTCCCCCCATCAATGGCATACCAACATTTTCCCCACTCCTCCATCTTTGATGATGATCATAAACTGATGAACATTCTTCTTCTTCGTCCTCCTCCTCATCGTTGCCACGATCATCGTCATCGCGACCATGATCATCAAGATCATTGAGCACATCATCAGCAATAGGGTTCCGATCAAACGAATCGTAACTGCACGATTGAGCATCATCCTCATCAGCCATAGACAACATGGGATGATCATCATCTGATGATACTGCATCAGCCTCAGAATCACCAGTTGCTTCAAACAACATGAAAGAAGACACATCCATAACGTTCTTCTTCTTCTTCTGCATCGTCGTTGCGTCGAAAATGTCGTCCTTCACGTTCGCCTCCACATGAAACCATGAATTATGAATCATATTCGAAACATGAAGAGTAAGTTTACTCCCTTTAAGGCTGTGCAAAAGTAGGGTAAAGGCCTATATATATTACAGAGAAACGTAGGCTGTCTTGTTTTGACACTCAAAAGTCCTGCGGCCCTATCTTACCTGGTCGATCTGGGTCGCCTTGGAATAATAATATTACTTAATTTTAATTAAAAAATCATGGAAAAATTATAATAAAAAATAAATGGAAAAGAGAGTACTTTTTGAAAAAGACCTGCATATATACTAGAATATAAACCATGTGAATTGGCTGGCTGGCTTCTAGAAGAAAACGAAATACAACTAAGCTTTTGTCTGCTAAAAATGGCCAACAGAATTGACCTAATCTTCCAGAAGGAGGGAACAGTTTAACCCTAGTTGGCTTCTACGTGTCTGAAACGTAGGCTGCCTAATTTCATCAACTTGATTTACTGAGTCTGTGCACATGCATGGTTCTGAAATGTTCTAGTATGTTTTAGAGCACTAAATATAAACGTTGTTTCTCTTGCATTTGCTTTTACTGGTAGTGCGGGAGAGATTTTTTGCTACACGATTTGGTATACCAAGTCTCTTACGTGTTTTTGGAAATTTTTTTCCAGGAGGTTATAAGTGAAGTTTTCTTTTGCGTTTTACCATAGATTAATTTTTTACTATTGTTAGTCGACACAATCCCTAAAAACTATTAAGGAAATTGTTGGTCAAGACTCAAGTTTCTTTCTATGACGTGTTAGTACTGGACCTTCTAGCAAACAGTTTTAATTTAGTTGACAAACCTAATGAAGACTTCATCAATAAGTCAAGATTAAATAAACAATTTTTGCAGTTGTTTGTTTACCACTCAGACATGTCAAGCTTGAGTTGAAGAAGAGAAACGAAAAAAAACAGAAATGACTCATTTGCATGGGGTTGTTTATTTCAAATGATCAAATCTATTTACAATTTGCGTACATCTAGTTATGTGAAATACATTCAGTTCAACGTTAATTTTCTAGTTTTTTGGCAAAAAATTAGCCTTGTTAATTAAAAAAAAAAACAATACCAACAAAAATCGAACCTTATATCACTAAGTATGATTGGGTGTATGAATCCTAAAACGTCAATGCACTCATTTTTGTGCCAAATCTTCCTTGTTTATCAAGTCTGAATTTTTCCTATCAAATTTCTTTCACTTTCTAATCATGAGTAATTAGGTAACTTTAACTTTAACACACGTAATTCCGTAGAATAATCACCAAAGATGAGTCAAAACCTACAATTTTTTTTTGGGTCAAATCAAAACCTACATATTTCGGTGGCCACGTTTGGATGTTTCAAATATATGTGTGGATAGATGATGAACTTTCCTACTTAATTAAGAAAACGTGTCCGGCCGGGAAAATGAAATAGCACTACAAGGATTTTTCTGCATAAATTTAAAAAAGAAAGTCGACCAAGAAAAGTTTGTAGCCTGATAATTATGAGTGATGGCTAACACTTCCAACATCTCTATCCAATAAGATTAAAACATGCGTATATATGTGTGTGGAGTTCTTCTGCTTTTTTTTTGTTTTTTGCGTCATATCTGTGCCTGGTATATTTGGGTTACACGTATTTTATTGACTTAATTTATTTTTAATTTTTAAACTTTTTATATGTTGAAGAGTTAACATTGTTAAGTGCAGTTTAAATGTATGGACTAGCATTAACAAATAAGATAAGCATAGAGAGGCCACAAAGAGTTTTGGGTGTTCATATTCCATAAATTAAGTGTCAATTATAAGACGGAGATCCTCTTGGACTTATCTAATTAATTCACTTGATTAATTTTGATGTTACTTGTAATTATATATTAATTTAGTGAAATTCTTGGACAAAAATGAGGTTGGTGATTGTTGAAACTGAGCTATACCAAGTCTAAGTTTTAAAATATGTTAATAAAAATAATTTTACGTGTTATCGTTTGAGAAAAATAACAAAGCTGAAATTTCACGTGTTATATATTAATTTTGATGTTATAATTTGATCATTGTCAAATTAACTTTCTTCAAGAGATAAATACGTATATACCAAAACCCTTACTTCCATTTCCTGCAAGATTTGTCAAATTGATTTGTTGGGAAAGGAACACAGCAGAAACAACAACCATGATCATCGGTCACTCCTTCATGTCAGTTGGGGCATTGATGTAACCTACCATTCATCAATATTATTATAATTTCCACGATATTCCAAATTTGATGACTGGGAGTTAAGTCATAATTTCAAATTCAAGCTGTTAACATCTTTACACAAAAGGAAATTTGGCATACAAGCTACCGACAGAATTTTACTTCCCTGAAAAATTGTAGTAAATTTTTTCTTTGCAACTAACGATTAAACCCAATTAAACAACCCAACTCACAACTTAAAACACGGAAGTCTCGTTTGGAAGTACTTTTAAAATAGCTGAAAGTGTTTTTGTGTAAAAAATGTTTGGAACCAATTCTTAGTAAAGCATGTGAATCTTGGAAAAACACTTGAAGTGCTCCTTGCAAGAGGCCCCAGTTATGTGCTCGCATGAAGCACTTTAAGTGCTTTAAAACTCAAAAATATTTTCTCTAAAACCGTTTTAAGTCATTTTAAAAGCACTTCCAAACGAGTACATAAACTTTGCTCTGAGTTGTTAGAGAAAGTTACTAAGAGTTTCTACGTAACTTAATAACATTTTAAGTCCCTACTAGTAATATTCTATAAAAGGACAAACCTCTAATAGGTCATTAATTAGCTAATAAACTTAATATACACTATAATGGTTGGCCTCCAGAGGACCACACAGCAACTAGTTGCATGTTAATTAGACTAAAATTAAGGTTAGTATATATACTTATTAATCAGTGCCCTCTTTTCCTTTTTTTTATTGGAGTACTCAGTCTTCTCTGCTCAGCTGTGCTAGGATATATATTTATTAGAAGTCTGCTTTATTTATTAGTGTTCAAGCGTGTGACACCAAAGTCTCATATTCCCATGAACAATAATGCAGACGGCATTAGGGTTTGGAATAGGTCCAACTTCAGAGCTCGGTCATGATAACACTGCATTACATATATATATATATATATATTTTAAATTTATTTATTTATATAGAGTCCTCTTTCACTGAGGAATTCCTAAAATAATTATTTGAGAAACACCTTGTGCGTTCTTTTTGTCACTTTTCTCAACGATCCAAATTGTCTATATTTTAGTATATTATTTATATATGGCGTTCATTTTGGAACCAAATATTAGAACACAAGTGGTTAAATATTTGAAGGAAAAAAAAAAGTTTAACCATTAGATATTAAGGAAAACTAATGAAAAGGGCTTGAAAACTTTGAGTTTTAATGATAAGGACAAAATAAAGGGTAAAATAAATAGTACCAGGATTGACTTTTTAGTGTAAAAATGTGGTTTTTCGTTAAAGTGAACAGTACCGGGTGCTTTTTGTTAAAGTTCCCTAGATATTATGATACTTGATGTACTGAGTCGACTTCTTGGTCCACTGAAAAATATTTCATCATAATGTGGGTTATTAGTGAAGTTTCCTTTTGCTTTTTTACTATAGATTCATTTCTCACTATTGTTAATTAGTTGACAGTACAATCCCAAAAAACTATTGAGGAAATTGTTGGTCAAAACTCTCAAAACTCAATTCTTTCTATGACCTGCTAGCATCACCTAATGGAAAATAAACCATTTTTGCATTTGTTTGTTTACGACTCAGACATGTCAAGCTTGAATTGAATGAGAAAACGAAAGAACACAGAAATGACTCGTTTGCTTAGAGTTGATTATTTCAAATTCATTTACAAATTGCGTTACGTTTAGTTATTTGAAATACGTTCAGTACGAGATGTTAATTTTCTAATTTTTATAGCAAATTTTTAGCCTTGTTTATCAAATCTAAATTTTTTATCGAATTTCTTTCACTTTCTAATCACGAGTTTAAAATCTTAAACTTGAACGCATGTCATTCCGAAGAACAGTCACCAAAGATGAGTCAAAACCTACATATTTGGGTGTCCACGTTCAAATATATGTATGGATAGATGATGAACTTTCCTACTTATAATTAAGAAAACATGTCCGGGAAAATAAAAAGCACTAGTAGATTGTGCTGCATAAATTTCAAAGAAACAAAGTCGACCAAGAAAAGTGTAGCCTGATAATTATCAGTAATGACCAACACTTCGAACATCTATATCCAATAATAGGAAAACATATGTGATATATCTGTGGAGTTCAAATCTTATGTACTATGTGACATTTTTGTGCTCTATCTACTTAAGTTACACGCGTATTGACTTAAATCATCTTTAGTTTTGTATTTTTTTTATAATATGAACAGTTAGTGTTATTAAGTAGGGTGTAAATGTATGGCCAGATGTCAACAAATAAGATAAGCACATAGAGGTCACAAAGGATTTTGGCAGAAAATTTGAACTCTTATGTGTGTTCGTATTCCATAAATTAAGTGTCAATTATAAGGCAGAAAGTCTGATGTTAATTGTAATATATTTAGTCATATTCTTGGACAAAAATGAGGTTGTTGAATGTTGAACTGAGCTATATACCAAATCTAATTGACCAGATTTTACATATTATAAGGAGGATAAACGGCATGATTTATTGTAACATCTCACATCGTCCAAGGGAGTGATCCTTAAATGTATATTTTCGTCTCTACCTAGCACGAGGCCTTTTGGGAGCTCACTAGCTTTAGGTTCCGTAGGAACTCCGAAGTTAAGCGAGAATAAGGCCAGGTCGCTCCCAGGATGGGTGATCCACTGAGAAGTTGCTCGTGAGTTCCCAAAAACAAAACCGTGAGGGAATGGTAAGCCCAAAGCGGACAATATCGTGCTACGGTGGTGGAACTGGCCCGGGAAGTGATCCATCTCGGGCCGGAATGTTACAAATGGTATTAGAGCCAATCCCTAGTCGGAAGTGTGCCGACGAGGACGTCGGACCCCTAAGGGGGGTGGATTGTAACATCCCAC